ACATTGAGAAATCTCTGGGAAGGTTCTCCTATCTTCAAATATTAACTCCTCTTAGGTTACACAGTGATCAAAATGTAATCATTAAATATTCTTTGGATTTCTCTTCTTGTAATATTTCTCAAAAGAGTAACAGTAACAATACTATAATTTTACATGTGTGTTGTTAATTACCGTTTCCAAAGCACTTTCATACCTGTGACCTCACTTGATAACTTTGTGATGGGTAGCCCATTAAACTAATGCACCCTAATCATTCTACCAGTAAATATGAAGGTAGGTCAATATTGTATTGCTTTTGCCTAAGAACATTAAAAAATCAAAGAATACTTTGGTGGTAATCATTTTGCAATATATAAATGTATCAAATCAACACATTGTACACCTTAAACTTACACAATATTATGTCAGTTATATATCAATAAAGCTGGGAAAAAACTGCAAAAATAATATATAGGTACAGTGAAATCCAACTAAATGAGTGCAAAATTGACATAAGAGTTTTGAGATAAAAGATAATATAGTGAGGATATATTTCTAAGCGTGAAAATATAGAAGGGTTCATAGAATCCCAGAAAGAATCTTCATCATTGGGTAGATTTAATTATTATGTCTAAAATAACATTCGTTCTAATTGTTGAAGTGAAAAGAAGTGGTTCTGGAAGCTACATATGTGTTCATTTAAAACAGGTAACAACTTGAGTTAGAATTAGCCTAAGAAAATGCAGATATACAATGCAAAAATGAGATAGAGGATCTATTAACTTGGGAACTATAAAAACAGGTTTGTAGATATATCTGGACACTGCTGTAAAGTTTTGTCTGCAGATTAAGAAGGTGACATTGACCCAATAATGTCACTTACTATAATCATCTTTGATTTTATTATACTGTACCTCTAGGAGGAATTTAAGCCTGTTATAGGTGGCCTATTGCATCCTAAAACATTTAGGAGGAACTGAGATAAAGCTATTGTGGATTATGTTGGCTCTAAGTCCAGTCCTAACAATTTTGTAGTTTCCAAATAAAGTTCTCAATGGAATCTTTCTAAATTGAAAATCATTAAATAAAGTGACACAGACAGGGGTTCTAACTGGGGGGAACTGTTTCCCAAGATGAGAAATGTTAATCATCTAGTGAAAAGCTAAAACTTTTAGGCTCACTACCACAGGTGATACGTGGCTGCAAACACAGCTTAAGGTGTAGTCCCTGGTTTAATGGAGTTTGCGATCTAATTAGGAGATAACATATATTTGTGTAACAGATAATTAAAATGCTAGTCAAACGAGTGATACAGACAGTAAATGTTAAATTAGAGAAATGGCCAGAAGCTGAGTTGCACTAAGATATGGCAATTAATATCAGATGACCAAGGTTTGAGGTGTGACTCAACCACTTAAGAACTGTAACCCTGTTAGTTGACCGCTCTAAACCCCAGTTTTCCACTCTGTAAAATCAGGATAATTACAATAGCTTTCTCTAGGCTGTGTTAAAGACTAAGTGGTCTTGGGAGGATGCCTGGCCCATAGATGTTAGCTAAGGAATTCACCTTCCTCATGACTGAAGGACCTGGGGCAGAAAGAGCACTGGGTGTTTGAGGAGGGGCTTACTGAAAAGGAGTAGCTAGAAACATAGAGGCCACCAGCTTTGTCCACTTCACCATTTGCTAAAGGTCATCCCTAAAGGGAGACCTGGGTTGTTTCCCTCAAAGGATACAGCTCAGCTTTGACGGTACTTCAAGCTTTGTAGAGTACTAAAAGATCTCATTTCATTGCTTACCATCCCCTGGCATGCCCAACCTAATCTCTATAATCTAAAGTACCTGTGGATGCCCAAGGCCCAAGCCAGCAGCTTTTTAGGGTTAGAAAGAAGATTGGCACCAGTGAGTTGCAGTGATGAAAGGAAAGGGGACCAGAGAGAACGTGAAGTAGCAGAACCGGTTTCCTTGCTAGCCCCTGCACAGTACTGCCACCTGGTGGTTATTTAATAAACCACACTATCTCTTCCTCCCATAGTCTTGTCCTAAAGTACAGCCTTAGTGTTAACGGAGAGAACGTGGTGATGCACTGTATTCGTTCCTGGTGACTACTGTAACAAATTACTACAAAGGTGGTGACAAAAGAAATTTATTCTCTCAGTTCTGGAGGCTAGAAGTCCAAAATCAAGGTGTGGGCGAGGCCATGATCCCTCTAGAAGCTCTAGGGGAGAATCTGTTCTTTGCCTTTTCCAGCTTCTGTTGGTTGCTGGCCGCTGTTCCTGAGCTTGTGGCTGCATCACTCGAATCTCTGCCTGCCTCTTCACATGGTCTTCTCCTGTTCTGTGTGCCTGATCTTCCTTTGCCTCTCTCATATAGGGACACTTGTAATGGCATTTAGGGCCCACTCGGAAAATCAAGAATTTTCTCTTCATTTTAAGATGTTTAATTCAATGGACATCTGCAAAGACTCTTTTCCAAATAGGGCAACATACACAAGTTCCAGGCATTTGATGTGAATATCTTTTGGGGACCATTTTTTGGCCTAACACATTTATTCTTTATTATCATTTATTATACATTGTTGGTAATGAATATATAAGATCGATTGGGACTTCCCTGGTGGCGCAGCAGTTAAGATTCCACCTGCCAGTGCAGGGGACACAGGTTCAAGCCCTGATCTGGGAAGATCCCACATGCCGCAGAGCAACTAAGTCCGTGTGCCACAACTACTGAAGCCCATGTGCCTAGAGCCCGTGCTCTGCAACAAGAGAAGCCCCTGCTCGCCACAACTAGAGAAAGCCCACACGCAGCAATGAAGACCCAACATTTCTTTGGTTTAATAAAAACAAAATTATTAAAAAAAAAAAAAGATTGATCTGCTGGCCAGGGCAGGCCAAGAGGATAGGATGCAGGATATAAAGTTTTGAATTTGGGTGTGGGGATGAGATAAGGAGGGAAAAGTCTAGAGTGTCAACTTTTCTAGGGAAGGCCAGCTTGGGTGGGACAGCTCAGTGAGAGACCCTGGGTGGCTGGGAAGCAGCACAGAGGACTCTGGGAACATGGTGTGGAGGAGAGAGTATAGAAAGGGCAAGAAAGGGGTGGTGAGCTAAGATTTAACTTTTGTTTGTTTTTAATAAACTGAATGTGAGTGGTCCTAACCCTTAAAATCCTCTATATGTATAAGGAAATGGGCACTCTCAAACACTGCTGGTGAGACTGGTGGAGTTAGTAAAATCCTTTTGGAGAACAATTCTACATATATATCATAAACCTCCATCCAGTAATTCTAAGAAGTCTAGAACTCTATTTTAAGGAAATGATCAGAATACAGGAAGATTTATGCACAAAGACATTCCTTATGTCCTTTTTTTAATGGTGCTCTTGAGTGTTTGTAAACAACTCAAATGTTTACCTTTAGAAAGTAATAGTTGAGTGAATTATGGTTCATCTATATGATGAAATATTTTATAGTCATAAAAGTATGTTTATGAAAAGTGTACCATAACATGAAAAATGCTTTTATGTGAGATGTTAAGCAAAATAAGTAGGAATTATGAATACATACATACATACATACTTTACACAAATATTAATTCTAAATTGATTCAAGATTTTAAAAAATATGTATATGTCACCTCTTTAGATGTATATATACATATTGAACTCTCAGAAATTGTGCATAAATATTTAGGTGACATAACCACCTCTTAAAAGGCACAAACAGGGACTTACTTGGTGGTACAGTGGTTGAGAATTCACCTGCCAATGCAGGGGACATGGGTTCAAGCCCTGGTCCAGGAACATCCCACATGACGTGGAGCAACTAAGTCTGTGCGCCATGACTACTGAGCCTGCGCTCTAGAGCCCGCGAGCCACAACTACTGAAGCTCGCACGCCTAGAGCCTGTGCTCCTCAACGAGAAGCCACCGCAGTGAGAAGCATGCACAATGCAGCGAAGAGTAGCCCCCACTTGCTGCAACTAGAGAAAGCCCGCGTGCAGCAACAAAGACACGATGCAGCCAAAAGTAAATAAATAAATAAAATAAATTTATTTATAAAAAAGCACAAACATCATATCATTTATTTTTGTATTCATCTAGCTCAGTAAAATCTTGCCTCCTGAAGCTAAATATTTTTCCCTCTATGTTTATTTCAACTTTTGTTCCCAAGCAGTTAGGCTTAAAAATTTGTAGATATATACAGTGAGTCTGTGATACATGCTCAATTACTACAGAAACTGCAGCTATAAATTGAACAAATATGGGTGAATGGGCTTGGTCCTAAAGGATGTAAGGGACTTTGACAGAACCAAATAGAGTGCCAGCACTGCCACTTGTTTTGGAGCTCATGGTACTTGGACTTTAGCACTGATACAGAAGAGACTTCTTAACAGAACTTTTTTGTTCATCATTCTAAAGTATTTAAAGTCAATTCATGGTGGAAATCTAATTAAAGGTCAATATAGAAAAATGTTCTTATACTGATATTTTAAAATATGGAGACACCTCAGAATAAGCAATAGTGATAGAGTTAACCAAGTACTTCCTGACATTAAACAAATACAAATATATATATATATATATATTTCCTTAATAAAGAAACTTATTAAGCTGCCCTCTCAGCACAGCCAGCAGCACGTCCGTCTCTTAATCTGAAGAAATTTATTGATATGCGGAAATGCTTACATAATGAGAGGGGTAAAAAATTGTATGTGCCAGATAACCTTAACCATACAAAAATAAATAGAAAAAAAGACTGGAAAAAATATACCACAATGTTAAGAGGGGTTATCCATAGCTACTGAGTCTTTTAAAAAGTTTTTTCTTATATTTCTAATCATTCTACGATGACATGTACTAATTTTAAAACCCAAAAGAAATTCTTTCAGAAGTGAAAGAATGGCCGATAGCAGGAAATGCTGCAGAGGGGCTAAGCATAGTGTGAATTGAAAAGGAGTCACAGAATTTGGGAACCAGAGGTGGTGTTTCAATAAATGGGGTATCAGACCCCAGGTATTGGGCTTGGATTACTGAGGCAGGCTTGGGTTGAACTGTAGCCCTGCTACTTCACATTTCGGTGACACTGGACACGTAAGTTCTCTAGGCGTCAGTTCCTTTGCTGCAAGCCCTGCTACTCCAGTGGGAAATGCTACCAGGCGTTCTAGTGGAGTTATCCATCTACTCGGCACCACGGTCACAGGGACAGAATAGTATGTCCAGATGAGTGTGACCATCAGGGCAGCTTGCAATATGTAGAATGCAACACTTATAACCCATTTTATCTTAGCCAACCGAGCTGTCCGTGCTTTCACGTGAGTTTTGAGCTTATCAGTCATCTTGTTGATCTTTCTCTCCAGCCTGGCGTATCTGGCAAACTCGTCCATCACGTTGACGGTGGAGAGCTCCTGCTTCATACCCTGGATCTCTGCTCGCATCTGAGACTCCTGCTCCACGTCCTTCTGCAGCACCCTGGACGTGAAGGAGAAGGACGGGAGGAGGATCCTGAGTACATTGCACCCAAACACGAAGCTGAGCACCAGCAGCCAAGCCCAGCAGTCAGCCTCTGCCGTGCTCATCTCGGAGGCTCCGGCAGCGCCAGCTCGGCTAAAACAGCTCCATCTGGGACCAAGCTGATGGCCGCGCGTGCGCAGTGAGCCCAGCGCCCCCCAGAGGCGCGCCGCCGCGCCTGCGCACTGCCTATTAATACTTAATAGTAATAATTATTACTATTACATAATACTTAGATTTAGAACTCCCATACCCATTCCTGTCCCCATCTACCCTACTCTTTCCACTCTCATAGCTAACCATTTTATTAGTTTCTGATATATCCTTTCAGTGTTTCTTTATACAGATACAAGCAAAAATAAATATATATTTTCATTTCTCCCCTTTCTTATACAAAAGGTAGCATAGTACTATACACTATTTTGCATCCGACTTTCTTCACCTAAGTACATCCTGAAGATACAGAGCTTTCTCATTCTTTCTTACAACTTCATATAGTATAACATTCAATTATATACTATAGTTTTAAAAATCTAATCCCTTATTGGTAGACACAAGTTTTTTTCCTGTCTTTTGCTATTATAAACAATGAGAAAATGTACATACATTATCCATAAAGTGCAGATATGTCCTTATCGTAAATAAATTTGCAGAAATGAAACTGTTGGCTCAAAGGGTAAATTCATTAAATCTTCTTAGAGTTTTAACCTGCTGTATGGTGTGAGGAGGAGATGGAACTTTATCTTTTTCTATAGTATAGATACCTGGTTGTGTCAACACTATTCATTTAAAAAATAAAGTCCATCTTTACCCCACTGATTTGATTTTGTACTAATTTTCTGTATGTATTTGGTTCTATGATGGACTTTCTCTTTTGTCCCATTGGTCTGTCTACTCATGTTCCAGTGACTCGGTGTGTACTTTTTAAATTTTGCAAGTTTAGCTCAGCATGGTTTTATTAAGGAGGGTGCAGGTACTATAAGAAAGAGACCCAAGATTGTACACAAGTAGTTTAACAAGATAGAAGTTGGTTTCTCTTTTAGGTTAACAGAGTAGAGGTAAGTGGTTCAGGGCTGGTAAAGAAGTTCTGCCATGTCTGAGTCCAAGGTGGCTGCTTCATCTTTTGGCATCTCTTAGCCAGCAGAATGGGAAAAAGGGCCAAAGGAAAGCATGAACTTTCCCTTTCAGTGTCACAATGTGGAAATGGCTCACAATGATTTCCAGAACTTGGTCACTTGGCCACTCCAAGCCACAAGGGAGATGGGGAAATGTAGTCTCTTGCTGTATAGCCATCTACCTGGCTACAACTTAGGAGTTCTATTAGATAATAGGGGGAAATGGTCTTTACTACAATGGTGGCCTGATGCAAAGGACTCCAATGTTGAAGGTACTGGTGTTAGGGGAAGCACTGAATGAAACTGGCCAGCACCACATTAACCATTTGCATGAGTTATTTTATGACAGGAGGTCCTGATAAGGAACACGGAACTAACAAGCCACCACCAACCAGAATTCGGGAAAGGTCAAAAGGAGACGCCAGTCCATATGTCCTACCAACCTCCCAGAATCCTCCTCACTGGAATCCATCTTGGCTGAGTGACGCACGCACTACCAGGAAGGACCCTGAGTCAGAACAACTGGCCAGAGACAATCCAGAAACTAATCCCATTACCATAAAACCTGAGACTGTGAGCCACATGGCAGAGCAGTCCTCCTGGGTTCCCTTAACCTGCTGCTCTCCGCCCGGTGCCCCTACCCAATAAAGTCTCTTGCATTGTCAGCACGTGCCGCCTCAGACAATTCATTTCCAAGTGTTAGACAAGAGCTCACTCTTGGGCCCTGGAAGGGGTCCCCCTCCCTGCAACAGTGAGGCACTGTAACCTGAAGAACGGCATAAACTCTTCCCTCCAGGGGACTAATGCAAAGGTGTCTAAGGTTCATATAGGCTTTACCTTCCTGCCCTCACAATTTTGGTGTTATTTCCCCTCAGAATCATATTTATTGTTTGTTAGAGCTCCTCTCTCTCTCTCTCTCTCTGTATGTGTTCTCATATGTGTGTGGGTTTTTTTTTCCTTTTACCTATTCTTTTCTCATTGCTTTACTCACGTGTCCTTGGAGATATCAATCTTTTTCTGAGGCAACTCTTGGGGCTTGTTAATGAATTAATTGGCAAAAAGAGGCCTCCCAGAGAACAAAAACAAGAACCTGTTTATACCTCTGAACTTCCTACATCCCTTTCCTTGTTATCCCACTTGAATGTGATAAAGAATGGATAGCTTAAGTGGCCCAAATAAGTGACCCTTTTACATTTGCAGAAGATGAAGTTTGCATATGAAATGAGATCTGGGTTATAGAGACTGCTAAGCTAAAGGATAGGGATAAAGCCAAAAAGAAAAGATCCTAAAGCCTTAGGGAGACCATATTAACTAAACTGGAATACTTTAGAGAGTGAAAGGAGGCACTAAAGCAATTCAGTATATATGAAATATTTACCTACTGATCAACAAATTGGCTTTATTATATTGGTAGGCTATAAAACAGTTCTGCTAAAAACTAATTTCAAAAATAAAATTCTTTCTAAAAATAAAAACAACATATATCACTGTACATTAAAGCAAAAAACACTTATATTGATTATCTGAACATTAAAAAATAACACAAGCAAAATTTTTTTGGTATATATTCACATACTTTAATCAGTTTCTTAGCCACACCTGTCTCTAACAGCACGTTACCAATATTTTTCTGAAAACGTATTTTTTCCCAATATCATCGTAATGTTTTAAATCTTTTCATAAAATTGCCTGCAATTTGTTTCACAGTTGCCTTTTATGGTTAATAAATTTGAAATTGCAAACATCTTCAATTGATTCTTCTCATCACAATGTTTTTAACTGAGAAAACACCCTCTACAGGAGAAGAAAAAAATTCTACTAAATGGAAAACATTCTCAATACTAATATTTTTATTAGAAAGTATATATACTTCAGCTCAAATATATTCACAGGTTCTGTCTTTTTGCCTCCATTCAGAGTACCTCTCCTTGACTAATGTTTTTATAAGACAAAATGTTGTCCATTAAGTTATCTCTACTTTTTTTTTTTTTTTTTGCGGTACGCGGGCCTCTCACAGCTGTGGCCTCTCCCGTTGTGGAGCACAGGCCCAGCGGCCATGGCTCACGGGCCCAGCCGCTCTACGGCATGTGGGACCTTCCCGGACCGGGGCATGAACCTGTGTCCCCTGCATCGGCAGGCGGACTCTCAACCACTGCGCCACCAGGGAAGCCCCCTCCTTTGACTGTTTTGACAAATTTAGATACTTCAAAATTTTAGGATGTCTCAACTTCATTCCATTCTGGAGCAGAATATCAAGTTACCTAATTAAAAATAGAATCCCCATCAAAAGATTTTCTCTACAACTTGAGATATCTCTAAGAACAGTTTGATATAATTTCAAAATCAAATGTTGTACACCATGAAGGCTTCTCATTCTCCAGTCTTCCTTGACTCTTTCTACAAGTGTATGTATTAGCTCTTGGTGTCATAGGTTGGTATATTAGTTTTCTATTGCTGTGTAACAAATTTAACAGTTTAAAGCAACACTCATTTATTATCTCACAGTTTCTGTAAGTCAGGAGCCTGGGCTCATCTTGGCTGGGTAATCTTCTCAAAGTCTCACCAGACTACAATCTAGGTGTTGGCCAGGGTGACGGTCTCATCAGAGGTTCAACTAAGGAAAGATCCACTTTTCTCAGAATGTTGGCAGACTTCATCTCCTTACAGTTGTAGGACTGAGGTTCTTGTTTTCTTGCTAGCTATTTACCAACGGCTGCTGTCAGCTCCTAGAGGCCACCCATTGTTCCTTTCCATGTGACCCTCTCCATAGTCCCTTTCACAATATGGCAGTTTACTTCAAAGCCAGCAAGGGAGTCTCTCTAGTGCATGCCAGCAAGAGACAGTCTTATATCTACATTGTAATCTAATCATATGAGTGACATGCCATCATCTTCAGCATATTCCATCAGTTAGAAACAAGTTGCAGGCCCCACTCACTCAAGGGGAGAGGGTCATACAAAGATGTGAATACCGGAAGGTGAAGATCATGGGAGTCATCTTAGAATTTTTCCCAAGGTTCCCTGGGAAACAGACTCTGAGTTTGAGATTTGTGTGCAGGTGGATTATTGGGGGCTGCTTTTGGGAACACCTGTAAAGGAGTAAGGAAATCAGGATTGGATAGAGAGGGAGAAGCTGCAAAGAGGTCGCAACCAATCTCACAGACTGAGAAGGTCCTTCAGAAATGTCCTGAAATGAAGCAAAGAAACTAGGCCTTTGTGACCTTCATTGAGCAATCACTGCATGTAGGCTGCCCCTGAGAAGGGGGCATCACCTTAGGCAAGGCAGCTCCCTTCAACACAGGACAATTTCTGAGGAGGTACTCAGTGTGAGCAGTCGGCAACCAATATTCCCAGCAGCTAGAAATGATTGCCTTAGTTCTGAAGAGGGGGTTCTGAGTGAAATGTCACATCGCCATTACACTTGGTTAACCATAAAATCTCCTTAATTAGTACATATATTTCCCAACTACTATGAATAAAATTTAGTTGAATTTATAACAACAAAAGTGTTCTAAGGGTTCGGAACTGTATTGGCAGGTGAGTAAATGAGGGAGGGGCTACTCAGAAAAAAGTGGTGGTTTTGATATATAATGTCAACGGTGGGTGAAGGGGATAGAATTTGGTGGATGAGAGCTCTTTCATGCCTTTAAATAGCATGCAAAATATCATGTGGGGCCAGGCTAACACATTAAATCCCCAAGGCCAAACATATATTTCAGTAAAATATAATAGAATAAGAGCAAAAGCAGGTTGAACTTCATTTTTTTTTCGACAATTTAATTCCACTGCTGCTTTCGAATTTTTTTTAATGAATTAATTTATTTTTGGCTGCATTGGCTCTTCATTGCTGTGTGTGGGCTTTCTCTACTTGTGGCGAGTGGGGGCTACTCTTCATTGCAGTGCACAGGCTTCTCATTGTGGTGGCTTCTCTTGTTGTGGAGCACGGGCTCTAGGTGCGTGGGCTCAGTAGTTGTGGCTCACAGGCTCTAGAGCACAGGCT